ATACAAAACTAGTGATAAGGGTTGATCACAAAAATATATGGAGAACTGATGAAACTCAACAAAAATAAACAATCCCATCAAAATATGAGCAAAAGAGCTAAAAAGACACTTCTCCAAAGAAGAAATGCGGATGGCCAGTAAGCATATGAAAAAATGTTCAACATCACTTGTAATAAGGAAGATGCAAATTAAAACCACAATGAGATACCACCTCACCCAGTGAGAATGGCACATCTTAAAACAACTAGCAACAACAAATGTTGGTGAGGATGTGGAGAAAAACTCTCCTGCACTGCTGGTGGGAATGCAAATGAGTGCACCAGTATGGAAAACTGTTTGGAGGTTCTTCAAATTGCTAAACATGGAGCTCCCATATGACCCAGGATTCCCACTCCTAGGTCTCTACCCAAAAGACACTAAAACACTGATTCAAAAAGATACCTGCACCCCATGTTTATTGCTGCTTTATTTACAATTGGAAAGACATGGAAATAGCCCAAATGCTCCAAAGTGGGTGACTGGATTAAAAAGATGTGTTACCTATACACAATGGAATATTACTCAGCAACCAAAAAAAAAATAAACACATGTCTTTTGCAGCAACATGGATGGGGCTGGAAAAGATCATGCTTAGTGAAATAAGTCAGAAAGAAAAGGAAAAATACCGAATAGTTTCACTCATAGCAGGAGTATAAAGGACCAGAATAATGAACAGCTATAAACCAGAGATATTTTATGGGGGTAGAGTGGGGAATGGGATTCAAAACAGTGGGGGTAGGGAAATGCACTGGACTATGGTGATGGCACATGGGTGATTTGGTGATGGGAAGCCCATGGGGATTACAACTGAGATGGAAAAATGCACAAAGTGATGTAAAAATAAACTATTATATTATTTTTTTAAAAAAGCACTGTATGGTAAAAAAAAAAAAAGCATTTTAAAAACTGAAAGAAGAATATTCCAAATGCTAACCATATTTGCCTCTGAAGACAGAATTATAAAAGGTTTTTTTGTGTGATTTTATGGATACTTACAAAGACTACCAAAGAAAAACAGTAATTTCTATCAACCTTAGATAAAATTTATAAAATATAAATAAGTAATCAACAACTTTTAGGTTGAACCTAGTCCAATACACTAATGAAAACTACATAACAACTATAAGGCTCTAAAATTAAAATACTAAATACTAACATCTAAATTAAAATATTACAATGAGAATGACGATTTCAAAATGAGTATATATTCAAAATCAACGATATAATTCCCCCAACCCCAAAAGGTCCTTTGAGAAACAAATAAAAGGAAAGGTGAATTCAAACTGGAGAAAAAGAGAAAACAAATTACAAATTAAATATAAGGAAAATTTAACCAATGTTTAATCAGAAAAATTCAGTTTCATCTTTTTTTTTGCCTAAATATTGTTTATAAACACAATGCAGTACCATCATATCTAATATACAATAGTTATTAAGGGGATAACCATAAACCTAGGGAAAAGATATATGATATTTCAAAAAATATCCCATATTTAAGTTCAGTTATGTTAAGTTTTCCAAATAGGCATATATATTTTCTACCTCTTCAAATTTAATAAGGCATTGATTGACTGGGCAGTTTATAATTAAAGTTCATACAAAAAGTATAAGGAACTATGCCACTTTATCAAGCAGTGTTTTCGTTTTAACCTTTATCTTAGCAAAAAAGTTCCAGTTCCCACATTTCTCTCTAAATATATCATTCATACTCTTATCAAATGTGTAATCAATTAGATTTTAAGCTGTTTATGAAGTGAATAATAAAGGAAATAAAATAGCTATCTATACAGGTAAGTAGAATAAGTTTTCAGCAGAAGTGATTAGAACATACCTGTATAGCCAAAGGATAATGTGGCTAAAGAGAAAGTCTGAGAAGAAAAGACAGATAATATGAAAGAAATATATGGAGCCAGATTGTACAGCATCTCAAGGATTATAATAAGAATTAGGGCTTCTGGCCCTCCCTGGTAGCACAGCGGGTTAAAGCGCAGCACTGAGAAACTAAAGCCACTTCCCCATGAGTTCGATTCCCGCCTGCCCCAGAGGTAACCACATGGTGTGGCAGACCTCCCCTGACCTGCCCGCTGCTCCCCTCAGCAGTGTACTTCATAGATCTGCCTGTTCTGCTCCCCACTCTGTCTATGGTGAAACTTCTCACCGCCCCTGAGCCTCTGGACTGTACCCCAGTTCTGTATGCACAAATAAATAAATCTTAAAAAAAAAAAAAAAGAATTAGGGCTTCTACTTTCAGTGAGACAGGAAACCAATGGCAGGTTAAAAGAAAGAAGTAACTTGTTTTGACTTAGTAAGTTTTAGCAAGAACATATTGTCCACTATGCTGAGTTGTGATCAATTTGGTGTGATCAAAGTGTGAAACAACTGCGAAAATTTAGGAAACATGATAGCGTTCTGAACAAAATGACAATAAGGATGATAGGAAATATAATTTTGAACATGTATTGTAGGCATGGCAGACAGTAGCTTAGCTTTGAACATCTGAAGTTTGAGATCATCATCAAGCATTTAGGTCAAGAGATATTAAGCAGGCAATCAGACATACTGTTTCCTAGGTTTTCAGAGAAGGGGCAAGAAACGTGACTGAAATAGGTACAAAAAAGAACTGGAGAACAAAATTTAAAAAGGTTGCAATCACTTTTATAGGGAATATTGCTGGAAGTGGATAAAGGAGGTAAAAGAAAGAGAAGGAATATAGGAGGGCCAATCTATAGAGCTTGTTGTTACTTGTTTTCTATCTCAGATGAGCTACTGAACAGCATAATTAGGAATGACCCAATTGGGGAAAAACTGATTCAATGGAAGAGATGGAGAGATCCTTCTGCAAATAAGGATATAGCAAAAACTGGAGGGAAATACAGTTTTTGATTAATCATCAAATTAATCGTAGTAAACACATTCTACACATAAACACGTTAATTGTTGGAGGATCAGGGGGAGGAGCACAAAAGTAAGAACTCCTTGTACTGGCATGGAAATATAATTCCAGGATACATTATTTAAAAACAAGTTAAAGAACAGAAGTAAAAGGCATTGATTTGTAATATGAATGTATATACATTCATACACAAACATCTAATGCATGGGAAAGGTTCAGAATTACTATTCAGATAATTACCCTTGGGAGCAATGAAATAAACTAGAGGCAGTAGAAGGAAATCAAATATGTTAAGACTTTTACTATCAATACTACTACATTATTTTCCTACTATTTTTTCACAGTAAAATATTAATGTAATTTTCATATAATAAAAGGAAAATAATTTTAAAACATTGAGTTGTATAGAAATTCTAGGATACATTCAAGTATTAAGAGTGTTTATTTCTGGGACAGAAGTTCCAAGTAGGAGGTCAGAGAACTTTTTGTATTTGTTTAACCACTTTTGCATTATTAGAAAATTTATTACAAGCATGAATTACCTTGGCAATAATCATTTTAAATAAACATATTTGAGTTTTCAATTGTTTGTTGTGACACAGAATCGTGAAAAATTCTGACAGATTATTAAAAAGATGGTTGCTCTCTGCAGCGGCAGCTAGAGAATTCAATCAAAAATAATTAAAGCTGAAATATTTTATCTCTCGTTTTAAGTTAACCAAGATGAAAGAATCTTAACACAAAAAAAGAAAAAGGAAACAATAAGGGAAACACTTCCTTTTTCTTTCTTTTTTACTGAGTTCTTTCTTGCTAACCAAGAGGAGAAACAAAAAGTGAAAAGGCTTATGACCTTTAATAATGAGCAACAATAAAGACATACTTGAATATAATCTGCCACGGGTAAACAAATTTTAATCAAAAAGTCAGAAAGGAAGGGGAGTGTTTGCATTAAAAGAGATATATGAAAAAGAAAAAATATAATAATTAACGTTTAATTTTCAAGTCATTTTAGCAATGGCACCTAATGTTGAAATAAAAGCGTACTAGGCAATCCTACTGTATGAAACAAAAAGATGGAGCTGCTGTAGCCAGTTTGAAAAGCACAAACAATACCACTGTCCTTGGGATCTCCATGATTGGAAGGAAACTCAAAAAGATTAAACATCACTAATCTTAAGCACTATTTTAAAATGTGGGGTTAACTAAGTTAAAATGTGGGGTGAATAGTTACTCACTTTGTGTTAATTATAAATATTTGGTTTTCATGGTGTTTTTTTGAGGCAAAGACTATGTCTAAACAGAAAAAAGTTCAGAATTTTAAGAATAATATTGATAACATAGTTAATATTAACCTCGTCAAGGTTAATTGTTTTCCCAACTATTTAAACATCAATCTTAGGGTTGATAGAATTTATATAAACTAATTATATAAATAACAGTGTTTTTTACAAAACATAAAAGAAATTCAATAGTTATTTTTAATTACCAGCTATAAATATTGCTGACCAAACAGTCAGTATAAGCCTTCAGATAAGATAACAGCCAGATAAGCCTTCATGGGGCCTCCTAAAAAAAGTGTAAAGCAAAATGATCAGTGAAAATAAACACAAGATAAAGAGAGAAAAATCCTTGGGAAATATTGATCCTGAAGATCTCATCAGCATACCTATTTGTGCATATCTGCAAATAAAATACTGCACAAATTCTATATTACACGTTTCTTTAGGTCTTAGACTCAGGCATAAAAAATTCTTACAAAATAGATTAGTTTTGTTCCCTAAACTTTTTTTGGCTTGGCTGCTACATTTCCCATTGCTTCATGGCAAATAACAAAATTCCGATTTGTAAAAACAATACTCTATTGCATCTGTATTTTAAATGTTTCAGCTACAACAGTAATAAAGAAAATGCACAAAATTTTAAAGATTACCAAATTGAATCATCTTTTTTTTTTTTTAGTTTTTAAGAAACATACAAAAGGGCATAAAAAGGAAGGTTGAAATTTGAATTAGAAAAATTCTATGTTTTTATAAATTTCATATACACTTTTATGACAGAAAATGCATACTTTTTGATATGATATACTTTCAGCTGTGTGAACATCTTCCTGGTTCTTCAGTACTTTTTGTGTGTCCAAATTCAGAACCTGGAGATGTTGGATCAGCTCTGCCTGCTGTGCTGTATGTGCACTGTTCTGTTTATAAAGATTCTGCAGCTCCTGCAACTCTTTCCTGTGCAAGGAAAGCAATAAATAGAAAGAAGCATGAATAAAGATCATCTCAGTTAAATAATTGTGCTCATCTAAGATTATAGATGAGCTTCCAATTTTTTCATCTTCTATTTTTTACTACAGGCAAACATAATAAAAGAAATAACAAAGTATTTAATATTTATCACATACACCTAGAAATTATTGATAAAGCTACTACAGCTTTTGAAGTCAAATACTTATCAATTTTCTTTTATAGCTTGATAGTAATAAAAACCATGGATATACAGACATATTGCCACCTTCTTATTGAAATTAAGTTATACTTTAGTTCCAAGAATGGTCAGTACTGATAGTTATAGACAAGATTTCGCTTAACATTATACAGAATTTTATACATATTAAGAAGCTTAATAAGTAACTTAACTTTTCAAAGCAAAGTTTCTTATAGCAACACTGCCTTAAAGTATAACAAATATGTAACTTGTATATATAACAAGCATGTAACTTCAAAAGTCCTGGATTGAGATTACTGTGATTCCGCTAATCCAGTTTGAGGAAAATGATTAAACAAAAAAGCCCTGAGCAATGAAAACAATGACAGTGGGAAACAATACTTCCAATACACCCAGCCACCCAGGTAAGGAGGGAGACAAATGAATAGCTACTTGTAATAAGACAGCAAAATTTCAAGGGTATTCACAACACTGGGACACAGGATTCCTGATTCCTGTGGTAGTAAATCCTGTGAGGTGTGTGTGTGTGTATGCATATGTATGAATGTATGCATGTATATCACAGGATATATATCCTTACATATAAAGATATAGATATATATCCTTATATATCATAAAAAGTGGATTTTATTAATTTTTAAGCAAAAACGTATTTATAAAGCTATATTTTATAGAAACATATTCTATATTATATATATACTGCCCTATATATTTATCTATCTACAGATAGATAGATAGATAGATAGATTTATTTTTCTTTATTTATGCATACATAAATAGGCCAGAGGTTCAGGGTTGGGAGAATTCATCAGAGACAGAGTAGGGAATAGAACAAGCACATCCACTGAAATACACTGCTGAGGGGAGCAATGAGCAAGAATGGAGAGGTCTGTCATGCCAGGATGGCTGTGACAGCTTGACAGCACTGAGACTTTAACCCCTGCACTACCAAGGAGGCCTCCTGCACTGTATTTTCAAACAGAACTTTCTTTTTTAATGAAAAAATGGTGATTTATTCACATAAATCTTACAGAACAAACGAGATATACATACAAGTTGTTGTAGATGAATATTATTGGAGAAATGAGCTCTGCTTTTTATAAGTTTAGAATGTTAATATCCTCCAAATGTGAGAACCTTCCCTGTGCCCACAGAAATGCATGTACATATACCATATCAGTTGCAGTCCTTTGAGCAGTTATAACAAAATTTCATAGACTGTGTAGCTTGCAAACAACAGAACTGATTTGACATAGTTCTGGAGGTTAGAAGTCAGAGATCATAATGTCAGGGTTCTCCTCTTAGTTGTAGATTTCTGGATGTCTTCAAGTGTTGGAAAGCATTAGGGAGCTCCTTGAGGTCTCTTATATAAGAACATTAATGTTATAGTAAGAATGCCTGTGAAATATTGTTATTTCCTTATAAAGAATAGACCAGAACCAAGAGTTGATTGTCTTTAAAGATCATGCAGAAGAAAAAATATGTAGCTATAATCAGAAAAAACACACAGTAGAGATATGTTCAGACTATGAGTATTTTGAGAATTAAAAATGAATGAACAGGGCTCTCCCTGGTGATGCAATGGGTTAAAGCACCACATTATAAAGTTCTCCCAAGCTACTGCAGCACACGTTCGATCCCCAGCCAGGGAGCTGATCCACAAGGCATGGCAGACCTCTCACCCACCACAACTCTGGCCTGTACCCCAGTTCTGGAAACATAAATAAATAAATCTTTTAAAAATATCAACAGGGCCCTCCCTGGTGGTGCAGTGGGTTAAAGCACAGCACGAAGAAGCTAAAGCCACTTCAGTATGAGTTCAGCCCCTGCCCTGGAGGTGACCCCCATACTGCAGCAGACCTCTCCTGACCTGCCCACTGCTCCCCTCAGCAGTGTTCTTCAGCAGTCGGCCTGTTCTGCTCCCCACTCTGTCTCTGGTGAATCCTTTCACTGCCCCCAGTTCTGTATGCATAAATATATCAAACTAAAAAAATCAACAAAAGAAAGAATATATTTTTGTTTCAAATCTCATGCTATTTTCTGGACATACTCTCAGTAAGTGGAATGGAAGGACAATCTTATACTATTTATATTTGGTGGTTTCCTCTGTGTCTCCCCACACCATTCTCTAAAAGAAGATGGTATAGTATGTACACCAATTTTGTAATTAAGAAATGTGGAGCCTGGGCCATCCTTGGTGGCCCAAGGAGTTAAAGTGCAGCACTATGAAGCTATCCACAGCCACTGCAGCACGAGTTTGATCCCCAGCCAGGGAGGTGACCCTCATGGTGTGTCAGACCTCTCCCAACTCACCCACTCTTCCCCTCAGCAGTGTATTTTAGTTGATATGCCTATTCTGCTTCCTACTCTGTCTCTGGTGAATCCTCTCACCACCCCTGTACCTCTGGCCTACCCAGTTCTTGTATGCATAAATGAATACTTTTTAAAATTTTTTAAAGAAATGTGGAATCTGATCAGTACCAAAGTAAGCAACAACCAGGCCAAAAAAATACATCTGGACCCTGGAAAACAATGAATTTGTCTATGCCTCTCCTCATGTAAAACTGAGTATATAAAAATCAAGATTTATTAAAAGGGAAAGTAGCTACAATTAAGAAAAAGGAGAATTTATTGTGCATACTCAGAGGAAAATTATACCTTTGAGTAAGAATTACTAAGGTAATTAGCAGATCTAAAAAAGTATGGAAATGAAGTTATTGTACATTTATAAATCTTCAACAAAAAGTCAAAATGTGAATATAATCACAGTAAAATCTCATGAAGGCAACACATTTTTGTTTACTAGTTTAACACAGCACCTAACAGAGTTCATGTCCTTTATTAAACAGTTGTTGTTGAGCTGACATTACCAATATGGCATAATAGATTGTTTCCCTGTTTCTCTCTCCCTCACAGAGAGAAAAATTAACAACTAAAAAGGAAGAGATAATATTAAAGTACAGGTTGAGACTGAAGCATCCCTTAAACTTCAAAGAACATTACAGACTTGCATTAAAAGAAATTCTGGGGAAATAGAAACATCTAAGGTATGAAGGGTATGTTGGGAGGAAAGTGGGTGGAGAAGAATGTGCAAAGACAGCAGTGTTTGGGAGAGTGACAGAGAGGGCTGAGCTCACAGACCAGCCAAAGTCTCCTACAACTAAAAATCAGATGAGTCTCAAAATATGGAATCTCAAAGAGGAAGGATAAAAGAAGGGCATTCCTCCAAGACAACCACAAAAGCACAAGGCTCTCTCCAAACCCTTCCACCGTTTACTGACCTAATAGTAGCTTGTCCACCATCCCTGACTGGCTACAGCACTCACAGAGCCTGGACAGAACCAAAATAAGTAAGGAAAATATGATGGAAAGGAAAGTATAGCCAGGTAAGGTCTAAGTTGCTGCTGATCCAGACTTTAATAAACAAATAGAAGAAAGGAAGTGTTTAAAAGGTGGTAGAAAAGCTAAGTGGGCAGGCCATAAAATACCACCAAGCAACTTGAGACATCAAAGTAATATGACATCAAAGGTTGGAATAATAACTCTCTAAAAACCAAACTTAAAAGCATGAAAGTTATAACCTAGTGAATAAAAAATTCAAATGAGTTGTCATGTAACTCAGACAGTGAAAATTCAGAAAAGCAATTTGATATGCTCAAGAATAAAATTACCAAGAACAAGGATGAGGCTCAATCTTGTACAATAGGAAAACACATAACTCAAACAAAAATGAGCAGATCTAAATCGAAACAAGATACAAAGACACAAGAGTAGGTAACAGGCAGTTGTAGAATGCTCATCATCACTTATCATCAAATACTACATGGAACATGGGAGAATGGCCCACATCAAAAAGACCAGAAACAAAATGTACTGTAGTCAAATACAAAGAGAAAAAAGAATTCTCATATACTGCTGGTAGGAATGTAGACTGGTCTATGACCTACAAAAGGGGTACAGATCTACCATATGATCCACAATCCCACTCCTCATATCTACCCATAGAATACAGAAACACTAATTCAAAGGGATATATGGACTCTATGTCCACTATTTATAACAGTCATGTTATGGAGACAATCTATGTGTCTAAAGGCAGGGGAGTGAATAAATAGGATGTGCTATATACACGTGAGTATAAGTAAAACTAGAGATTAATTTCACTTATTGAAGTATATGATATCCTTCACTACATAATTTACTGTAGTTGAGTAATAAAATGCACAAATAAATATAAGTATTTATGTATATATATTATATACTTAAGATTCATTCTATCAAAATTTCTGATAAAGATTTGTAAAATAAATTAATAGGTAATTTAGAAAATGCCAAAACAAAAACACAAGTATACCATGATACTTTTTCAAGTAGTCCCACTTTATGAGTAGTAGTATAAAACTAATGATTTTGATATGAAAAGAATACTTCAAAATTTAAAAACATAATGAAGTAAAAAGTCAAATCTGTGTTGCTTATTTACTGTTAATGAAATGAATATTAATATACTGTTAAGAATTTTATAAGGCAACAATGAATGGTTGCACTGTTTTTGTTAAAAACCTAATCAAAATTGCTGCCTTTCAACAAGTTCTATCCAGCATTATGACATCCATTATTCTCTCTTCAGTAATTATTCCCAAACTGGTATGTAGAATTCCAGACATTGTCAATATACATCAATGTACACAGAAAAGATATATATTTTTCAATTTGGGGTGTTAAAAAATAAATTGGTGTCTCACTCCAGTGAGAATGGCACATCTTCAAACAACTAGGAACAACAAATGTTGGCGAGGATGTGGAGAAAAAGGAACTTTCCTGCACTGCTGGTGGGAATGCAAACTAGTACAACCACTATGGAAAAGTGTTTGGAGGGTCTTCAAACTGCTAAACATGGAGCTTCCCTATGACCCAGCAATCCCACTCATAGGTATCTACCCAAAAGACATAAAAACACTGATTGAAAAAGATACCTGCACCCCCATGTTTATTGCTGCTTTATTTACAATTGGAAAAACATGGAAGCAGCCCAAATGCCCAAAAGTAGATGACTGGATAAAAAAGATGTGGTAAATATATACAATGGAATATTACTTAGCAACCAAAAAAGAGAAACACATGTCTTTTGCAGCAACTTGGATGGAGCTGGAAAAGATCATGCTTAGTGAGATAAGCCAGAAAGAGAAAGAAAAATACCGGATGGTTTCACTCATAGCAGGAGTATAATGGACCAGGCAAGAAAATAACAAAAATAATGAACAACCATATACCAGAGACATTTTGCAGGGGTGGAGTGGGGAATGGGATCAAAAACGGGAGGGTGGAGGGTGGGGAGGTAAGTGCATGGGAATATGGTGATGGCACATGGGTGACTTGGTGATGGGAAACCTGCAGGGATTACAACTGAGATGGAAAAAAAAAATGTACAAAATGATGTGAAAATAAACTGTTATAAAAAATAAATAAATAAATAAATAGGTGTCACTCTATATTTTTTTCTGCCATTTCTAAATGCTAAATCAAAAATTTAATATAGTTACCTAACCAGGGTAATATCCATATCCTTCTGGATAAGTTCAGTCTGTTTATTATTCAACTGTAATGATAAAGCATTATATTTACTCTGTGACACTTCAATTTCTTTCCTTGCTTCACTTAAGTTGTCTTCAAAAGCCTAAAATTAGAGCACACATATCATACTCAAATACTGAAATAATGAAAGTCTTAATAATGAAGTTTTTTTATATTTAACTAACTAGTCTACCAAATGACAGTGAAAATTAGTAAAATTTTAAAATTCATTTTAAATTCACTTTATTTTAAAATTAATTTTATTTTCACTTAAAATGATTTAGTACAAACAGTAACTCTTGTACCAGTCACAGTACCACAGTTTCTTAGTGTTAATGATAAAAATTTTAAGCAAACATATTTGACATCTGTATAAATGTAACTATTAATGTTATAATAAAAATTAATTTGTAGTGAAAGAGCTGTTAACTACACCAACAAAAATAAGCTCTATTACCTAAATACCAGTCAAGACAACAGCATATATTTTACTAGCTCTTCTACTTTAAATGCAGACAGACACACAGAAGAAAAGTTGTATGTATAGCATGAAGATATCAAAATCATATTAAAATGTTTGCGATACAGAACATAATGAGTTCTCTACATCATGGTAAAATTTTACCCAAAGTTTTCCAAAATTAACATTTTCTGCTGATAATTTGTCTTTTTTTTAATTTTGAAGCAATTTTAAAACTGATGTTACATTTTCTCAAAATATACATAAGTTAATTTTCATAAAGTATTAAATATTGTATCTAAAAATAGAGTAAGCCCACATAAACACTTGTAAACATTACACCAAAAGTAAGCACCAAGTTTTAGGTCAAGCGCTAGAAATCTATTCTACTTACCCTGCCATACCAAATATTTGCACTCTATGTAGTAGCTAGAATGATCTTTTAAAGAAAATATAATGGCATTAAGTGAAGACTGATCTATAAATACTTCTTAAATTCCAATGCATTAAAAAAAAAGCAATCATAGACATATAGGTAGACAGATGGGTAGGTGAAATCACAGGAGAAAAAGAAGGGGAAAGAGAAAGTGAGAGAATAGCAAATGTTGGTTGGGATACTGGTTAAGTTAGAATTTATGGGGCCTGTGAAGTGGTATAAGTTCTCTAGAAAGTAACATGGGGTTAACCCAAATTAAAAACAGAATATATAATTTAGCAATCCTATTTCTGGACATAACATTCAAAAGAATGGAAAGCAAACTCTTAAAGCAGTATTTCCACACCTATGTTCACAGAAGAATTGTTCACAATAGTCAACAATCCAAATTATTAGATGAATGGATAAAACATGCCATTATCTGACACAAAACAGTTTCTTTTTTACTCTTCTCAAATGCTACACAGATGTGACTTATAAGCATTCTGAAAGAAATGAACCAGTCACAAAAAATTACCATATGTTTCCACTTAAGTAAGTTATCTAAAGTAGTCAAACTCATAAATACAGAAAACAGAATAGTGACTACCAAGGGCTAAAAGGAGGGAAAAATAAAGAGTTGTTAAATGAATACAGCGTTACAATTTTGCAAATAGAAAAAAAGCTTGGAGATCTCTTTCACAGGAATGTAGTCACATCTAACAATACTGAAATGTATGCTTATAAGTGATTAAGTGGGCAAATTTTATTTTATATTCTTTTTAATCATAATTTTGTAAAAGAAAATTTTTACATATACAACAAAATGAGTGGACCTAATACTATTGAACAAAAAGAAAAAAATAACCTAATTTAAAAAATGGGTAGAAGGATTAGTCATTTCTTCAAAGAAGACATACAGATGGCCAACATGCACATGAAAAATTGTTTATCATCACATATGGTCAGGAAAATGCAAATGAAAACCACAGTGAGATACCAATTCACATCTGAGAGAATAGTCTATATCAAAAAGACCAGAAACAAGTACTAATTGGCAAGGATGCAGAGTACAAGAAACCTATTTACACAAGTTATGGGAATAAACTGGTCTAACTCCTATGAAAAGAAATATTAAGGTTTCTCAAAATTATTTAATGGATCTACCAAATGATCACCAATTCTACTCCTATGTATGTATCCTAAGAACACAAATATACTAATTTGAAAGAAAACTTGAACTCCCATATTCATTGTAGTATTACTTAAAGTAGTTAAACTATGGAAACAACCTAAATAGACAAGTGGATCAAAAATATGTGTTATTTATTTACAACAGAATACTACTCAGCTTTCAAAAAGATAAACCCATGCCAATTTTGGCAACATCAATGGACCTAGAAAGTATGATACTAAGCAAAATAAGCCAAAACAAAGATAAATACAGGATACTACTACTTATATGTGGAATTTAGAGAATGAAGCATCAAAGAAAAACTTAAAAATTAACTCTTGAAAGCTGACTACAGAACTGAAGCATCCATGGAAGGGAGCAAATTAGGGAAAAGAGAGAGGTAAGAACATGGTGAGGGTAAACCACAAAAGACTATGTTGAAGGACTATGGTGCTTTGGTGGTGGTTGTGCTACGGTTGTTATACCTAAAGGGAAAATCCTGTACTTCTAAAACACTACCAAGTATGGTACTTCAATTAAAAAAATTAAATATTACCCAGAATAAATACAGAATACTTATAAATTTGTAAGAAAAGAAGACAAAAGCCCCAATAAAAAAAGTAACAAACTAGAAATCATAGCAAATGATAGAACAGACTAGCTGAATGGCAAATAAGTAAATTAAAAATAATCAGATAATTATGTAGCTAAAAATTAACACTAGGAAGTATTGATTATCCTTATCACACTGCCAAACTCCTTGAAGGATTTAGGAAAGCAGAAAATGATAGAAAAATTAAGAAAATAAGTGCACCAGAATTCAATTCCCTCAATAGCTCAGTCATTCCAATTATGCCCCATAAATTAATGTATTTTACTTTAGTATCCACAATTACTTCATTTGAACTCAGAAATACTTAGTCTTCTAAAACTCAGAAATACTTAGATCTTCCAAATCAATACACACATGTATACATATATAATATGTATAAACAATCATATCTGAGCTTACTGTACATATGTATATACATAGTCATATTTACAATATATACATACTTAGTATAGCTACAGACATACTATAGTAGAGGCTATCTATTACACAGTGAAATATATTTATGTATATATACACAAAGGTTTATTAATTTTATATATTCTTTTCATAAGTACATAGATAATTATAGTACATAGATAAAGCCCATCATGTTTAGTGGCCTAAAATTTCTTCTGGACTTGTTAACAAAATCCATGGTAAAAGAAAAACCTAAAATTTAATGGGGAAAAAAATGAAAAAAAAAATCCTCTAGATAAAGAGAAATCCATTAAAAAGTATTAATTTCAGAAAACAATGATAAAAAAGGATATAAGAAAGTTGTAAGGGTTAGTTACACCATTTATCTTCTATAAAAATAAAATTTTACTACAAATTAAGGTTTCCTAAACTATACAAAAGCACTATCCTTAAAAAAAATGAACTTTTACCCCAGTTCTGAATAAATAAATAAATAAATAATAATAAAAAAAATGAACTTTTAGGTGTTTGTGATTTATTTAAAGCATTTTACATTTTAAAGAATCTGGAAATTATAGCCTAACACTATTCTGAAATGACGTATAGCTATATTTATAAACGTAAGGCCTAATTTAGAGAGTGAAAGCCCATGATTCTCAATATTTTTTCAAAACATGTTTTATTTCAAAATGCAGTAGTCTTTATTTTTTAATGATTACATTTTAAATAACTATTTGAAGTCAGTTTCCTGCTTTGCAACATCAATTTTTAAAAAGCTGTGGGTATCAACTAAAGAAGTATAAATTAATACTAGTTCTCACTGGTGGATATGAATATATAACTTGTTATTTAAACAAAATAACACATAACAAACTTTCTGTAAAAATTTAGATCCAAAGTAACAATGTGAATTCTAACTTATATTCTTACAGCATACCTTTATTTTTGCATCAATGCTATGTTTCTCTTTTTTCCAATGTGCTTCCTGCTTCCTCAGTTTCTCCAGGTCATTTAGCAGGTCAGCACAGCGGGTATTCAATTTCTCATTTTCCTCTTCCAGACTTTTTATAACCAGTCTGTTGTGCTCTTCCTTATTTTGTACACACTCCTTAGTGTCCTGTAGAACAGTACCACAAGGGCCGATAAACAAAACAACAACAACAACAACAAAAAGGTGAGAACTAATCAGCAAATATAAACTGTGCAGTTTTACCCTCACAGCAGCTTCTTCTATATTTGATGGCCAAGGTCACCTGTATACTTTTATTGGTCTCTTTTCATGCAGGTAGATGGGTCATATTTTTTCACTGGATGACAGCTTTGATGACTACACATTTGCAAAGAGCCCATTAATTGATCAAGCTGCCTTTGATGCTGTCCCCAGCTATTTTTGAGACCCACACAGACATATCCTCCCAGACCTGGGTTTTATCAATTAATAATGCCAGTCCCATCAGAATCTAATTACAAGAAGCCACATATTCACACTCCTACTTTCTTAGCTCCATTTCCATCATTAACTATTTATCTGAAAGTTATAAAGCTGGAGTCTTAGCTTTAAAGCATCTTTCTGAGTTTTTGCATATGAGAAAACTATATGGTACAGCAGGGCCTAAGGCAATTTTTCCTCAATGCTTGTCATTCTCTGTGCCACAAAGGCTGATAAAGCTTAATGTAGGACTTCAAAGTAACAGTACTCTAAAAGTATGTGTAAGCCAACATACCTTAACTTCTTTACTTCTATCTTTAAATTTCTTCTGCAAGTCACGGAATTCGTTCCTTAAGAAAATATTTTCTTCATCTACTGCAATCTTTCGTTTTATAAGGTCATTTATTTCTTGTTTTAGTCCTGATTCTCTCTATAGAAAAAATTACAATTATTGGTGAGTTAGTATTTATAAGATAAAAATATTTAATTTAATTTATATTTAAATAATAAGATTTTACATTTTGACTGAGAACTGATTCATTACATCTATCATCACAATTCTCATTTCCTATAACATGTACATGGATTTGAAAGAAATTGTTCAAGTATGCTACCTACTTACTAGAATAAAAATGGAGAACATATAAAAACTGGACACCAACTACTCAGCTATATTCAGAAGTCAATTTTTGTGGATTTTGGCATGTTAACAGGAGAAATAGAAAACTTTACAAAACATTTTACTTAAAATGCATATGTAGTTAAAATAATTACTCTCATTTACATATCATGTTCATGTGGAAGAAAACATTTTTTAAAGAAACAATTACAGTTTTGTGAAGGCAAATATAATTTTAAAAATGAAAGATAGCAAGCTTGCTTTGGCACTAAAAATCTGCTACAATTTTTTTTTTTTTAAGATTTATTTATTTGTGCATACCAAACTGGGGTACAAGCCATTGGTGCCGGGGTGGTGAGAGGATTCACCAGACACAGAGTAGGGAGCAGAACAAGCAGATCAATGAAATACACTGCTGAGGGGAGCAGCAGGCGGGTCAGGGGAAGTCTGCCCCACCATGTGGTCACCTCTCGGGCTGGGGGGATTGAACTCAGGGGGAAGTGACTTTAGCTTCTTAGTGCTGCGCTTTACCTGCTGTGCCACCAGGAGGGCTAACTGAGTATGTTTGCCTATTCTTTGCCTAATTGACACCTGACACTATCCATGATTCCTTTTATGATCTCCCTTTTCTCTTTCTATAGTCTCAGAAAATTTATCCATTCTCATGACTTATGATCTTTGATGGAGAGACTACCCAGTCCTTACTGCAGAATTCTAACTCTCTCATCACCAATTCCACACTTCCAATTTTCTACACAATACAGTCACTTAGATTGCCAGCTATCTCAAACTAACATAACACACTTAAAATCAAAATCCTTATCCTGATATTCTTTTTCCTAAACTTCATCCTTTGTCAACTCATTCACTTTTTTTTCAGTTAATATCCATTGAATACCCATTTTCTAGGCCCTCCCTGGTGGCACAACAGGTTAAAGCATAGCACTAAGAAGCTAAAGTCACTTCAGCATGAGTTCCATCCCCGCCCTGGAGGTGATCCACATGGTGTGTGGCAGACCTCTCCTGGCCCACCCGCTACTCCCCTCAGCATTGTACTTCATCAGTCAGCCTGTTCTGCTCCCTACTCTGTCTCTGGTGAATCCTCTCACCGCCCATGCACCTATGGCCTGTACCCTAATTCTGTATACATAAATAAATAAATCTCTAAAAAATAAATAAACACCCATTTTTCTGGCTGTACATGTTTTTTGAATGCCTCTAAGTCATTCTCAAAGAACCTTTCCCCAAGTCCTTCTGCCTGTCAACCATGGAGCAGATACATCAAAACATAAACACAGTCATTTTTTTATAAACTAAATAATATGCTCAGTAGAAACCCCTGATTTTTATGCCACTTCTGACTTATCACTGATGCTCTTCTGATCCCTACATACTAATTTATTTTACACTCTCACATTTACTCCTTTTCAAACCATCTCAAAAGGTCTTGAGAATAAAATGAAACTTACGGTAAAGACAAGGATAAAAAATGGGAGGAGTTTAAGAAATAAAGGAAGGTAATCTACAGTCTAATATTCATAAGTTGAAATGTTAATTAGTGTCTTCATTTTTCTCAAAAATAGTTTAAGTGCTGAGTACACAGAAAAAACAATATATGATAAATGTGTATGGTGTAAAGAAATAGCAACTTTGAGCCCACAATCATCAAACTAAGAAATACAACTTCTTTACCACTATCATTGAAATGTCTGTATGTACCATGATTCTCTAACACCTCCTATGCCCTCCAGGAGTAAGCATTATTCTGAAATTTGGTGCTTTTATTTCTCTGGTATTTCTTTATAATTTGTGTGTGTGTGAGAGAGAGAGAGAGAGAGTGTGTGTGTGTGTCTCCCTAATCAATGTATTGTAAATTTTAGCTATTTTTCAGTTTTGTATCCACTAAATCATGCTACAAAGAATATGTGTAGTATGATTTTTGCTCAGCAACAGTATTAGCTCAACATTAGTTCCCAAATTCATTTATATTTATGAGTATAGCTGAACCTCAACTATCTTGGTGTAAAGTATCATTCCATTAATATGTAGATAGATAAAACAGTTATTCATCTCCTGAAACCATACACTAAACCTGCTTCCTATTTTGGGAAAAGAGTATGTAAGCAATGTTGTTATGAATAATTTTTTTTTAAGATTTATTTTATTTGTACATACAGAACTGGGGTACAGGCCAGAGGCTCAGGGATGGTGAGAGGCTTCACCAGAGACAGAGTGGGGAGCAGAACAGGCAGATCTATGTAGTACACTGCTGAGGGGAGCAGCGGGCGAGCCAGGAGGGGTCTGCCATGCCATGTGGTCACCTCCAGGGCAGGCGGGAATTGAACTCATGCGGAAGTGGCTTTAGCCTCTCAGTGCAGTGCTTTAACCCGCTGCGCCACCAGGGAGGGCCGTTATGAATAAAATTTTAAAGCTTGTCTGCTGATAAAGATGAACCAAATTTCTCATAATCTATATTTTTCAAACTGCAGAACGCAATCTAGTAATGAGTCAGTAAATGGATTACATCTAACCTTCACTATACATAGTAACAAAAACTATTAATATCTAAAACTTTACTTAATGTGTGTATACTGAATCTTAAGAGAAAATTATATTTTTTCTTAGTATGGGGATCATATTAATAAATATTTTAAAAGCAGTGTTGTAAATTATACATGCTGAAAGATTAAGTTGTTTATCATAGGATATATGTACTTCAAGAATTACCGCAGTTCCAAATCTGCACCAATAACTTGACTCTCAGGCTTGAAAATATTGTACAAATCCAGTAAGTGTAAGTGGCACCTCTATATAATCTCAACTTTTACTCATTTATTTTAAGTACTAGAGCATATGAAAATGTGTTTTCAAACAAGCAGCATACAAACATGTATAAACATGGCCAATCCTCAATTCACAGCCACTTTTTAAATATTATCTAAGTCTTAATCACCTTTAGGATTCAGTTTCCACCTCCTATATTAAAGGCTTTTCCCATTGTATAATAATTTCTTTCATTTAATATACAACATGCTACCTAGTTGTGCTAATTGCTGATGTAATCATGCTTTTTCTCAAACCAAATTAGTAAATGTCTATGAATGAAGGTTGGCAATGAAAAATAAATTCTATCATGTGAACAGTAAGACTGTTTATAAAATATCTACAAACATGTACTTTGAGAGAAGAAATGACAACATTTGAGCACCCTCATGTATTCTGCAGATTATTTAGAGTCTAATGATACAACAGCAAGCCTTTTATGAGATTCAATGAGTTTGACATCTGAATAAATTTAGTGAACCACAATACTAATAAAAAATTAATTTATTTTTAATTAATTAATTATACAACACACATCATTGTTTATTTTTGTACATTTGCTTCCTCCTCCCAGATGTAATCCCTGTAAAATTCCCACCACCAACTTACCCATGCACCATCACAATAGTCCCTGTGTTCTTCCCTCCCTTGTTTTGATCCCACTCCTTCCCACTCCTATGAAGAATGTATTTAATTTATAGTTGCCTGTTAACTTTGTTGTTTTTTTTTTTATTTACTAAATGCAAATTAGTCTGACCACTAGGGAAAGCTGTGTGGAGGATCCTCAACTACTAAAAGTAGAGCTACCATATGATCCAACAATTCCACTCCTAGGAATCTACCCAAAGGACAAAAAAAAAACACATTTATTCAAAAGGATACCTTCACCGCTATGTATACTGCAGCACCATTTATAATAGGTAATAATGGAAACAATATATATACACACACACACACACACACAATGGTACATTATTCAGCAAGCAAAAAGGATAAACTCATGCGATTTGCAGCAACATGGCTGAGCTGGAAGGGATTATGCTCAGTGAAATAAACCAGAAGGAAAAAAAATACCAGATGGTTTCACTTATAGGAGTAGTGTAGGGGAACCAAATAAGGGATCAGAAAAAAAAAATAACAATTAATAAACCAAAATTAACAGGCAACTATAAATCAAAGATTTAATTTCTAAATAAGAAAGCATAATATGGTATGAAATTGTTTAACCAAAATATTCTGATTGTTTGATAAATTTCTATGTATTGTATAATCATTAGAATAATAAATCAAAGATGTACTCCAATTTGAAAGATTGATAAATCCTCAATGATTTGTAAACTATAATGTAACATTTCCCTGATAAAAAGTACCCTCAATGATGTACTTTAAATAATGTTTACAGTTGCAGTTCATTTTTTAAGTTTACCTTTATGAAACTTTTTCAACAAACTTTTTCTGGTTAGATTAGAGGATATTGTTAATGGTTTGGCTTGAGTTAATATTAAAATAGCAAATAGAACTCAGAGGAACCATAAAGCATAAAGGGTGACAAGAGAAAGTATGTCTGGAACAAATAATTTATTATGGATAAGCTATGAAATTAATAATTCATATCATGGTCAAGAGAATTCTATAGAGTAAGAAGAGAATAATAGTAAGCATGAAGCAGAGGAAAAAAGGGGGGGAGGGGAAAAAGCATAAGACCTGAACCCACACCAGGCAATACTTGAGCACAGTTAATACATTATTTATATGACCTACTTTCAAGTGGACAAGAAAGTTTTAATAAGAAATACAGAAGTAATGAAACCACAACAACTAAAACAATGGTAAATGGAGAAAGGGAAAGAGGTAAGAGAACTAACCGTAACTGAAGAGCAAATCTTATTTTATATTATATATTATGTCAAGAAATGCAGATATATATATTATACATTATGTCAAGAAATGCAGATAAGACAAACTTGCCTTTAAAAAGGTACAGACAGGGCCCTCCCTCATGGCACAGCAAGCTAAAGCACAGCACTAAGAACTAAAGACACTTTAGCATGAGTTCGATCCCCACCCCAGAGGTGATCCACATGGTGTGGCAGACCTCTCCTGGCCCATCCGCTGCTCCCCTCAGCAGTGTACTTTGTCAGTCAGTCTGTTCTGCTCCCCACTCTGTCTCTTGTGAATCTTCTCACCACCACTGCCTGTACCCCAGTTCTGAATGCATAAATAAATAAATCTTTAAAAAAAAAGATACAGACATATAGATTGAGTCAAACATAAAGTTCAACCAAATATAAATTCCAAATAATTCATCTAAAGATACAATATAAAAGGATAGACTAGTTAACAAACTAGTTTAAAAAAAAAAAGCTGGAGGAATAGTGATTTAAGAAAAAAAATTATATTATATGGCTAATACCCCATCTTGTTTAGTTATCATTTCCTTCTCTATTTTCAAAGATTTTGCCTAACATTCTTAATTTCAAAATCTTTCTCTACACTCACATTTCCTCTTTCATTACCATACTGTTAAATTCAGTGACTGCTTAAGATTTCATATTCCAATACACTTGGACCACTTTCTAAAATCATTAAAACTTTATATTGCTCACCCTGATCTTTTTCACAAATTCCAGTTTTCATAGCCATTTTCATCACTGACTGCCTTTTACTTCTTGAAACTCTTTTCTCAGTTCAAAAAAAAAATTTGCATTATATTACTCACTCTATCTTCTTTCCTGAACAGTCTTTCCTTCTCATTTACTGAAATTTGCTCTTCTTCTTACCCATTAACAATAGCAGGAAATATCTTGTTCTCAGAATTCTCACTGCTTAGTCTTTTATTAACATTAAATATGTAAATATCAAAAAGAAAACTCCTTTCAAAAGGTCAGATCTACAGGTTGCTAAAGATCTCTAAATGTACCTCATACCAATAATTAAAACATAAATTGTCCAAAAGAAACTCAAAACCTTGTCATTATAGCAAGCTGAGCCTCTTGATAAGCTAAAAGCAAAAGCATAATAATAATGAAAAAATATGACATTAATAGCTTCAAAGTAGTACTGATCTGACACAATTACCCTGATGTAAAAATTAATTGCAAAAAAAATTAAAATAACTCTAATACTACTACCTGAAACAAAGTAATTTTTAGCATTTTCTGTTTAAAAACCAACCTGTTCCAATTCTTGAATTTTAGCATCCTTGACTTGCAGAATTTCTAAAACTTTTCTGTCTTTAGCTTCAGATTTCTGTTTTTCTCTAGAAACAAAAAATACAAGTGCAGAGAGTTAATTAGTCATTGGTAGCTTAATAATTTAAATTTTCACATCCTGGTAATAATGTCACTTTAAAATACAGAAAAATTAAATTATCTCGAGTTGACAACCCTTTCAGAATTAATCACAACCATATGGCAAGTGACAACAACTCATAACTACTGACAACTAAGACAACTTCATACAAAAGAACAATTTAATTCCCAAATTAAAATGATTAAAAATACTTAAAATGTATGTATTTTTTTCTGCTATGACCATTATGCCATTAATTTAAAATAATTGACAAATGAATAAATGTGTGCTTGTTAACAAAACACTTCATATACACAATTTTATGAGTAAAAGTTTACTTAATTTACCATTAAGTAAAAGATTCAGAAAAGAGAACTAACATTTACAAGTAACCAACATCCCATGACTCAATTTTTCTGATTGCTTCTTATTCTCGTCTCAGAGACTATTACTAATTAAACTAAATGGTAGCTGGACAATCAAAACAAAATTTCTGGAACACAAAAAATCATAATACTTATACGCTATCTTCTTAAGATAAACAGAAATGTGTGCCTAAATTACTTATAGATCAGAGGGTACAGGTAAGGAAGATGAAAAAAGAAAAGTCCTCACTCAAGAAAAAGCCCTCCCTGTTGGGGAAGCAGATTAAAGCACAGCACCACGAAGTTATCTGCAGCAACTGTAGTACTAGTTCAATCCCCAGTTAGGGAGGTGACCTACATGGCAAGAAAGACCTCTTTCAACCCACCACTTAACCCTCAGCAGTGTGTTTCAGTACATCTGAATGTTTTGTTCCCCACACTGCTTCTGGTGAATCCTCTCACTTCTTGCACCTCTGGCCTGTACTCCAGTTCTTGTGTTTATAAATAAATGTACTTTCAAAAGCACAAGGGATACTAGATGGAAGGAAAACAATTGGAAAAGCATACTACTGTTTATAAAAGATAACTGCAGATGGTATAATAGTAGATAGAAAATATTTAAATTAGACTTTCAATAATTTAGCATAGTAAGTTCACACTTTCAGGTCCTTCTCCTCCAAATGTACAGTATTTAAAGAAAATCAGAAAGAAAAAAAGAAGAAACACAGGTGCATCTCTGAGGGACATAAATCAAACCAAAACACAAAACTGTGACCTAGGGTCCAAGGATATGAGAATCAAAGTGACCTGTTCAATACATAGAAGCATAACCAGACTCATTGTTTGAAATCAGAAGCTAGGGTGAGGCTCTCAAATACTTCAGCTCACCCTTGCATGGTTCTAAGGGTTATATTAAAGGTCTGGAAAGGCAAAATTTTATAGCTAAAACAACCAATCAGAAGGTGAACCAAAACACTCTATAGCTCAATAACTGAATACAGCTAATCCCTAATAATCTCAAATTATAAATATAAAACCAATTTCAGAATGGGGAAATGGAATACAGGTGACAATTCAGTAGCAAACAGAAAGAAGTTATGAGGGGAAAAAAAGGGGCTTAGGGATTAAGGGACAAAGAGAACAATAACTAGAACCCTGCATTCAAGATGTGACCATAAACAAAAATTCCACATGAAGAAAACATCAACTCCAAACACTTATACAATAAATATACACACCAACTCAATAACCCAAAATATCACTCACTCTGGACAAAAAGAAAAAAAATAGGCTTAAAAATACTTTAAAATAGGGCCCTCCCTGGTGGCTCAGCGGGTTAAAGCACAGCACTGAGAATCTGAAGCCGCTTCCGCATGAGTTCGATTCCCGCCTGCCCCGGAGGTGACCACATGGCGTAGCAGACCTCTCCTGACCCGCCCACTGCTCCCCTCAGCAGTGTACTTCGTAGATCTGCCTGTTCTGCTCCCCTCTCTGTCTCTGGTGAATCCTCTCACCCTCCACATCTCTGGCCTGTACCCCAGTTCTGTACGAATAAATAAATAAATCTTTAAAAAAAATACTTTAAAATAAAAGTAAAGATGTAAAAGAATGATTAACATTTAGAAAGAAAAAATAAAAAGTTGGATCAAAAAAAAAAAACATTTAAAACCTGAAAATAAAATTTGTGATACAATCACCAAAAAAACGGGCTAAGCTCAAAAATATACATAATGAAAACAAACATAGCAATGAGTGATTAATGCAGAACAGTTTGGAAAAGCAATGAAGGGCCCTCCCTATTGGTGAAATGGGTTAAAGTGCAGCACTAATAGGCTAGCTGGAGCCACTTCAGCGTAAATTCAATCCTCAGCCAAGGAGATGACCCACAATGGTGTGGCAGACCTCTCCAGACCCATCCGCTGCTCCCCTCAGCAGTGCACTTCGTTGATCTACCTGTTCTGCTCCTGGCTCTATCTCTGGTGAATCCTCTCACTGCCCTTGCCTCTCTGGCCTGTACCCCAGTTCTGTATGCATAAATAAAGCTTTAAATAAAATTACTCACTCTATCTTCTTTCCTGAACAGTCTTTCCTTCTCATTTACTGAAATTTGCTCTTCTTCTTACCCATTAACAATAGCAGGAAATATCT